ACTGTGTGTCCAGACCGCCCCTGCCCCTCCAAACCGCACCCATGCGGCGAGTCTGTTCGGCCTTCACGTGGGGGCCTCAGTTCAGGTTTCGGAAGGAGGGGGCCACCGTAACCGGGATGACGGGGGCTGCGTAGGCACTGACAGCTCTCGGTTTGGGGCCGATCGCGCAGCAGCCAGAGCCTGGTCCTCATTCCTAGCTACAAGAAAGCAAATGAAATCCGTGTTAGATCCGCTGGGCTCGATGCGGCGAGTCTGTTCGGCCTTCACGTGGGGGCCTCAGTTCAGGTTTCGGAAGGAGGGGGCCACCGTAACCGGGATGACGGGGGCTGCGTAGGCACTGACAGCTCTCGGTTTGGGGCCGATCGCGCAGCAGCCAGAGCCTGGTCCTCATTCCTAGCTACAAGAAAGCAAATGAAATCCGTGTTAGATCCGCTGGGCTCGAACCCTGACATGCCCTGGAGCCCTCTGACCCTGCAGAGAGACCCCGGCACGACACCTGGCTCTGGGAGGACAGAACAGGCCAGGCCTCTGCCCCCTCCACCGCCATGTGGCGGCTCCCCGGGGCTGTGGCAAGCCGGGTCCCTCCCCAACCCGCCCGTTGGGCTGTTTCTCTAGTGCTGGACAAGTTGCACAAGGTCCCTTCCTGCTGCTTCGATGTGGCCCAGAATAATCTCCCTCGGCTCCCCGGGGGCGGTCGACCGAGTGCTGCGGCCAAGTCCACAATCAGTTCCCGGCAGAGGGAAACTGAACACTCCTGGGTGCGTTACCACAGCTGCCTTGCGCAACTCGGGCCGTTCTTGGGCAAGCCGGCAGAGCGGGCAGATGGGCCGCGCCGGCGGCTGTTATCTGGGGGGCACCGAAGCACTTCTTCTTTCGCACGGCGGCCGGAAAGCAGCAGGCTGGAATTCTAACTGACTCCTCTCCTGAGATTCAGACCCCCCCAGTGCCTCTGGAGCAGCCACGTGGGACCCCTGGTGCCCCCCCGTAAGCCCTGGAGAGCTCAAACCCCACTAAAAATCTGTTCCTGGTCTCACAGCTGACTCCGCTGGGCCAGAGGCTGGCTGAGCCCTTGCAAAATACAGTCCTGGCGGGCTAAGCCAGGCTCTCCTTAGGCCGAAGGAAGGGATGAGAGGGGGCAAGAGAGAAGAGCCAAGGGAGGGGAGGAGAAGGCCAAAGGGGGGGGACGATGCTAACAGACTCCCCCATCCTGGATGGGGGTTGAGATTAGCCAGACCCAGTGGAGGGGACGTTACCAGTTGGGTGCCTCTCTGGGTATGTCTACACTACAAAGTTAATTCGAACTAACAGACGTTAGTTCGAATTAACTTTAATAGGCGCTACACAGGCAAACCGCTAGTTCGAACTTAATTCAAACTAGGTAAACCTCATTCTACGAGGACTAAGCCTAGTTCGAATTAAGTCGTTCGAATTAAGAGCTGTGTAGCCACTTAATTCGAACTAGTGGGAGGCCAGCCTTCCCCAGCTTTCCCTGGTGGCCACTCTGGGGAACA